ACACGCCTTTGTGACTACAAGACTAGATTACTGCACTGCACTTTTTGTTGGGATAAATGGATCGTCTCGCGCCCGTCTCCAGATGGAGCAAAATGCTGCAGCTCGTCTTCTAACGGGAGCGCGTAAATATGAACACATTTCCCCAGTTCAACGTTCACTCCATTGGCTACTCATTCAATTTAGGATCGATTTTAAACTTCTTTTACTGACTTTTAAATCCTTGAATTGCCTTGCCCCCCCTTACTTATCTGAGCTGCTTCATCCTTATCCACCTACCCGTTCGCTCAGGTCGGTTGACAAACTTCTCCTGAGAGTGCCAAAAACTCGTCGCAAACTTAAACAGGACCGTGCTTTTGCCGTGGCAGCTCCAAAACTGTGGAATGCCCTTTCTCTTACCATTAGACAGGCTTCCTCACTTAAAACCCATCTCTTCCATCTGGCTTTTGACCCTTGAGGATGACACTTGGGGGAACTCAACCTGTAAAATGATGTTTCTACAGCACTTTGTGCAACTTCGTGATTGCTGAGAAAGTGCTCTATAAAGAAATTTTGATAGATAAATAGATTGATTGATTGATTGATTGATTGATTGATTGATTGATTGAAAAAGCTGATGGAATCACTTTCTTAAATTTAGCTACAGCATTATCAGATCAGACATCTCATATAGAAATCTTTGCCTAATGGCGTCTAGTTCAGCAATAGAGACTCAAAAGGATTCTGTGGGAACACCATTAAATGTTCAATTTCAATACCATATACCAGAACGAGGTCGAAGGTGTGGTTAAAACAGTGAGTCGGTTTAATAACACTCTGAGAGAAGCCAATTGAATTTAACAGAGATAAACACTGTACTAAGGCTGTCATTCTCAACGTCCACATGAATATTAAAATCATTAAAATAATAACTTTGTCTGTTTTAAGGACTAAAGTTGACAAAAACCCTGCAAATTCAGATAAAAATTCACAGTACGGACCAGGTGCTTGATAAATTATAACAAATAGAATTGGTTGCAGTGATTTCCAGGTTGAGTGTGAAAGACTAAGAACAAGGCTTTCAAATGAGTTATAATTTAGTTTAGGTTTAGAGCTGATTAGTAGGGTAGAGTCGAAGATAGCTGCAACTCCACCTCCTCGGCCAATGAGTCAGTGCATCAAGCAGTGAATATCTGGATAACAAGAGAGTTACTATGTTGCTGTCAACTGACATCTATCTATCTATCTATCTAGTCTTCCCTTTACTTTGAGTTCAAACTGCACCAGTTGTCACTGGGGATCACAGTATGAATAGGTATTTAGAGCTAACTCATCAGTAGAGAGCAAAGATGCAGTCTGAGGCTGAACATTCAGATTCTCTTCCTTAATGTTGGAGCTTTAACCCTGATGACTTTGACGAGAGACACAAGACATAACAGGTGACCTGGCGAAAAAAGGGGCCGGGGTATTTATGCAGGGAGCTTGATTGTTGGTGATCATAGCCTAAGAAGAAGAATAATAACAATAAATACTGTACATCACTAGGACATCTCAAAACAATAAACTGGTTGAGTGTTAAGCCATTCCAAAAAGGAGCTGAGCTTACCCCCACTGCAACCTCGAAGGTGAACTACTGTACTCTCAGCTAACAAGGACATTGAAAAACATTGTCACACTTAAATACTAAAATTAGCTCGCTATCTCAGTCTGGTTACACTCTGCTCACTGTAACAAGATCACAGCCATACACTCAGCCCTCGACACAGAAAAAGGCATGTTTCAGGCATGTTTTTATTTAAAACAAACAAAGCAGAAAAACTACTTTAACTTGATTGTAAAGGTTATGTCCTGGTGGTCTCCGCTCCACCTTCCTCTCTTCCACTGTGCAGCCTCGACCCACTGTGCCTTCATCTGCTTGCAGAACCTTCGTAGCATCCACTCTTGCATCGCCTTTGTGTCAAGTCTATTTCAAAGTGTTTCTCCACAGCCGAGCTGGGAGTTCATGAAGATGACAAGGACGCTGCTGAAGAGCTAGTCGTTAAAGAACTAGAGAGCCTAATGGTTAGCTAGGGCAATTGCCAAATATATATTTTTAATTTTTTGTTTCGTTTTGTTTATTACTTGCCTTGGGCTGCGAGCAATACCTCTTTCACTCAACATGTTCGAAATGTTGTCTCTCACAGTGCCAGTTATTTGTCTCATTATTTCCTCTTCCCCTTGAATCAAGGGACACTCTCTCCTGTCACTGTCTTGCCATTTTTGCATCTTGCACGATGTAGAGAAAAAAAAAACGCTGTTGCTTTAATTCCCATAAACTGTAAAGAACAATAAATAATCCAAAGAGTCCAGTTGCCCTTGACCTTAACCCTCTTTGGATAACTATGACCTGGATGAGAGAGAACAGACACAAATAAATAATGTTCCTGGCTATTTACTATGGGTATTCACGCTGCAACATTCAACACTTTAGCATCACTGGAGAACCAGGGTGTCATGTTTACATGGTACATTACATTTGGAACTTATTCTGTATTTAAGGTGCAAAGTTTCACTCATCAAAGTCCTAGTAGTTAAAAATAATCTGTTAAAGGTAGGCAGTAAGTTACATTTATTTAGCCATGATGTAAAAGGTGAAAAAAAGTAAATTTACTATATTATTTATTACTTAATCCTGCTCAAAAGACAAATTTAAATGACTTTCAAAATTTCACCCAATAAAGTATTTTCTGAGAATGCAGAGGTTTTAAGATTTTAATTGATGTGCCTTTGCGTCATATATAAGATTATAACACAACAATGTAAAAATGAAACAAGAATAAACAAAAGTCGACCACCTTTTATTGACTGGATATATAATAATGCATCCATTTATTGTCATCAGACAGACCAAAATCAACCCTTTAATTTGTATTTATTTAAATCTGCATTACAAAGTTCCTACCTTTAAAAAATATATATTAATGAAGAAATGATTACTGTTGACACTAGTGAGTTAAATCCATACATTTGTTGTTTTCTTTTGTTACTCAAGGTGAACACATCTATCTAACAGAAGTTAAAAGCAGACTTTTACATATGATGCGTATTTTGGACATGTTGAGGCCGTACATAAAAGGGTTGAAGAGCGGTTGGCATGTAATAAAATACGATGATAAAAATATTCTCATCATGTTAGGTACACTGTTCATGTTAAACCTGCTCTGGAATATTTCAAAGCAAGACCCTAAAGAAAAGTTGAGCAGAGAAGCAAGGTGAGGAGTGCAGGTACTGACAGCTTTTTGTCTGGTCTGTTTAGAACCAGAAAAACAAACTTTAAGAATCCTCATGTACGTGTAAACGATTACAGACACCGGAGCAAAGACTATGAGAGAAGCAGCAATGAGTTCATAGACATTATTCACTCTGGTGTCATAGCAAGCCAGTTTTATGATGTAATAGTTGTCACAGTATACTTTATTAATGATGTTCCCACACAGCTGTAAAGAAGCACTCAAGCATGTTGTCACAAAAACAGCCAAAAAAGGGGGTAACCATATAACAACAATAAGCATGACAACCTTATTAGATGTCATATGTGCATTATACTGTAGAGGACAGCAGATAGCAAGGTATCTGTCATAAGACATGACAGCTAAATTGGTCAATTCTACACCTCCATATGGATACACACAGAAAATCTGCAGGAAACAAAAGGGAGCAGAAACAGTGTGAATGTCAGAGAGAATCTGAAGCAGAAGGAATGGAAACAACCCTGTACTACCATACAGCTCATTTACAAACAGGCTGCACAGAAAAAGGTACATAGGTTCATGTAAGCTTCTGTTCATACAGATAACCACAATGAGCAGAAGATTCACACAAAGAATTAACATATATAAAGACAAAATGAAAATGAAATATAAGTATTTAAAAAGCCCGGTGTCAAAGTAGGCATCAAGTGCAAAATATGAAACCTGTGTGGAGTTTATCATGATCATCATTTTGGTTCAAAAGACAATAACACTGCACAGGAAGAAAACAACTTACCACTCCTTAATTAAAGTCAACATAAAAGTTAGACACACTACAATGAGAATTTATGACACAGTGTGAATGACACTGAGTCCCACCTAACTGAACTGTAACTCTGCTTCTGCTTCTTTTAAACCTTTCAAGTCAGCGGACGCCCACAGCAGCAGACTGATGTCATTATTAAACACTGTTACTATGTTTCTAGTTGATGCCTTGAAAAATTATTTAACCATTAGCACACTGTTGTGATGACATTTAGTTAATGGAGACACCTGAGGCCAAATCTGAACAACCAAAAGTGAACGTTTGTTAAATCTCCTGCGAAGGGTTGAAAGGACAGCATCATAAGTGGGGGATAGCGGCGTTGCAGACCTCCTCACCTGTTGAGAGATGGTTTCTCTACTTTCATGTATATGGCTTCCTTCACTCGTCTTTCAAACCATCTTTGGACCCACTCATGTATTATGAGGCTGGACAGACATGGATCTAAACAGCAACTTTACTGGTTGTCAGAGGCACAACACCATGGGGCAGAAATTCTAGGTTTCATGTATTATTTTAAATCAGTTTAACAAATGTAAATGCTTCGTATTTGTATAGCGCCTTTCTAGTCTTTTCGACCACTCAAAGCGCTTTTACACTACATCTGCATTCACCAGTCATACACTGAGCCTAAGTGCTCAAACGGAAACTAACATTCACAGTCATTCATACACTGGCGGAACAGCCGCCAGGGGCAATTCAGGGTTCAGTATCCAAGGACACTTCGACACGCAACCAGGGGGAGCCAGGGATTGAACCGCCGACCCGCCAACCCGCTCTACCTCCTGAGCCACAGACGCCCCAACAACTTAACAACTTTAAACTATCTATCTATAACCTGTGTAAACCACCCACATGTACCCAGCTCCATCCGGCACCGCTTGTACTTGTACTCCACATATGGTATGAAGACTAACAGTCTGTGGACTCTCTGGCTCCAAAGTGAGAGTGAGCTGGATGTGTAAGAGTCCCTACTTTGATAAGGTACCCTTTTGCTTGGGCAGGGGGGCACCTTGTTGGCTAGACTGGAACACCCGCAGGAAGACCGACGAGCCTGGTCTGAGGAACAGGAAACAAGGACAGACTCAGAAGTAGGTGCAAACAAGAGGTGAGCAGGCTGGAGACAGTTTGACTAACAGCAGGCCGGGAGTAGGCTGCAGTACCTGGCTCAGGAGGAACAGGATGGGTTGGAAAGTTATATAGCCTTTGTCAAATAAGTTGAGATCCCAACGCTCTTGCTATTAGGTTGCAAAGAAGAAAACTGGAGCCTTTCTCCCTTTAGTAACAACAGTGAGTGAGAAAAGTGCAACGTACTTCCATCTGCTAAACATAGAGCTTAACAATGCTATAAACAATATATGGAATAATGATTAAAAGAAAGATATTTGGTATAAACATGATATTATGATGATTGAAAATCAGGATATTTTTGTTGTGTGTGTTGGACAGAGAGGACCCAAAAGCAACGCTCCAGTGAAACAGGTTTTATTGAGGGGAAAAAGGGAGGTGAGGGAAAGGTGGATGACGGGGTAAAACAGGCACGGGGGACCGAGCAGCAAGTAGGGCAGAGGCGGCCGAGGCAAGGGAGGCGAGGAACACCGTGGGGGCCGAGGAGCAGGTGGGACCAAGGAGGCAGGGACGAGGGAACTGGGAGGCACCAGGGACCGAGGGAGAGAGGAGGCACAGGAGAACTAACTGGGGGGTTGGTGGAGGAGTGTGGTGGCAGGCTGACCGCGAGGCACGAGGGGGAGCCGGGAGGACACCGTGGAGAAGGTCCGGGTGGAGAGGGCAGCTTGGTGAACCCAGCTCACACAACTGGAGAGGAAGGTGAGTGAACCTGGGGAGAGACAGACAGACAGACAGGGTTAGTGACCGGGAAAACAGAGAACGGGGATGTTACTAGATAAAAAGCCTGAGTCTAGCAGTGGCAACAGGTCAGGAGCAATGACGATCAAGCCGCGATTGTGTGGAGAACCGGGGTTGAAATACTGTCAGGGATGAGGTTGACTGCTGGCAGGTGTGGATCGTCAGCTGGGTTCAGGAGCAGAGAGAGAGGGAGAACACAAGCGAGGGGAGCTGAGGAGACACAGACAGGCAGGCCAAAACACAAGGGAAAAACAGAATCACAAGAAAAAAGGAGAAATAACCAGGACACTCACTGTCAGCCGGGCTGCCACCACCACAATCTTATTGATCCCGAAGATGAATAAATTGAATTGATCTTCTGATTGTAAAATAAATACTGAGATGGGTGTAACGGTCTTATGACTATGAGTCACTGGGAGAGAAGGGTCAGCAAGGGGAAATGAAATGGCCAAATGAGGACATCTTTGGCCCAACTAAAATTACGGATGAACAATATATGTGACAGTAGTCACGTAGACAGGAAAAGGGTGGTGGCTGATTTGACAAGAAAACTCAGCTACGGAGTAAGATATTTAAAGAGCAGTCACAAAGAGATCGGGGTTATTCCTCGGCAGATCTTAGAGGCATCAGACTCGGAGCAAGACCATCACCGCACCGGACCAAGAACCCAAGACAAGAGTTGGGGATTTGAACAGCAAACAACTAGAGAATCCTTCAGAGTTTTCTTCAGTGGATTTCAAGAGATCGAGCCACAGAGGATAACCACAACGACCAAACCAACTGAAGGATCATTGATAAGTTTTTCTCTCTCTCAACTGCTGAAGACTTTTAAAGACAATTTTAGGGCTTTGGACAAAGCTTCAAGTTTCCACCAGAGTCAACAGCTCAGCAGAAGAGGGAAAGACCTCCTTGGCCAGGACGACTCCTTCCCCTCCCTTTCTTTCCAAAAAGAAGACATCTAAATCACTCAAGGTTAGCTATTATAATCAGGTTTTGAATCATTAGGTAAAGTGTGTTTAGCATCTTTAAGGTTCTTATAGGTTGCTCTAGGCAACGAAATTAACTACAGGTGGTATTTAGCTCTAGGGCTATTCTGTCAGGTGTCATTTCAGAGTAAGCAGGGTAGGCGTTTGGAAGAAAACAGTTAGAAGCTAGGCGAATCTCTTCGACACCACCTTAATCAGTCCTCAGTTATACCTAATAGGATAATACCCATAGGCCTAGAGAATCGGACCCTTTAAGACGGAGAGCTGGTCCAGTACCTCCTCAACAGGGGAAACTCATGATCTAAGACGTTGCCATTAGGAATGTGTCATCCTAAATTCTGTATCCCATTCCCAAAATAGAACCGGAGGAAGTCAGGATCTGCATAACACATCCCGTGTAACTCCAAAATCCAGCCAGGAAATACGTAAGCAGGACAAAGAGTCTGTATCTGTTGGTCCATTAGCATCCAGTTCATTCTGTAAGATTTAGCTACAGTGCTGACACAGGAAAACAAGAAATTTGGACCCAGGTGCAGATTCTCTTCATAAAAATGAGATGACAAAGAATAACTTTGGTGGAGGCTAACAGCCACCAAGATTGAGCTTCAACCCTGCTGAGTTCGTCTTAAGCAAATCAATGTTTCCAATCCCTAAGTTATCAGATGTTTTGCCAGAACTCCAGTACCTCCCCTAACTCCGATCACACACAGTGGTCTCCTAAGGCCAGCCACCAGTACATAGACCACAAAGTAGTTTACTAGAATAGTTCAGCTGGGAGGGAGAAGGTAGTCTTCTCCTTAGCACCTTAGGTGAGGGGCACCTGACACTAACCTGTGGTCAGTTGTGGCTAATGATGGTGCCGCAGACGCCGCTTCTGGATTTTGCTTCATAGTGCTTTTTGTGTTTTTGCTTATAAACTCTTTTCTGCTGTCACTCTCTGGTAACATTTACCAGAGGAGAGCTCTTAAACATTGGACTTTCAACTGCTCACACTATTCCACCACACTTTATCAAACCTGGAACTTTCCAGGAGTTATTAGTTGGAGGAGCAGCAGCTCTGTATGGGTTCTACCGGAGAAGGGGAAAGCGTGCAGGCGCACTGGTTAAACTGAGACAGCGGGTTTTTCGCACTGCGCTCCCGTCTATCCACCTGGCGAATGTCCCCTCTCTGGCCAACAAAATGGAAAATCACTGCTGCACAACATTAAACTAACATTCACACTGGTGGAACAGCCACCAGGGGCAATTCGGGGTTGAGTATATTTCAACATGTAGCCTGGAGGAGCTGGGGACTGAACCGCTGACCTTCCGATTAACAGGCAACCTGCTCTACTGCCTGAGCCACAGCCGCCCATTGAGGAACATAAAAAATAGGAAAATACCGCACCAAACGGTATTCCTCCACTTGAGCTGTACAAAACAACAATTAACAAATAAACTATCTGGACTACTATTCAAGTATATCAAGTTCAACACAATAAAATATGAAATCTATATAAAATGTATCAAGTTCAACACAAAGTAAAACAGTCTGCTAACTGAGTACAAAATGTAATAAGTACTATTCAAGAACGTGAAGGTGGTGAGGATGCTGCTGAAGAATTAGTCACCAAGAACTAGGGATCTTAGCAGGGTAGCCTAGTGTCAAAGTATAGTGTTGTGAATTGCCAAGGGTTTTGGGTCGTTCCACACCCCAGACATTGAAAACAGTTTGGTGGTGCAGGGGTTAGCACGTCGTCCTGGCCTTTCTGTGTGGAGTCTGCATGTTGTCCGCATGGGTTCTCTCCAGGTGCTCCGGCTTCCTCTCACTGTCCAAAGACATGCAGGCTAGGGTAATTGGTGTCTCTAAAAATTGTCCTTAGGTGTGAGTGGTGTGTGTGTGGCCCTGCGATTGACTGGCGACCTGTCCAGGGTGTACAACAATTACACCGCCTTTCGCCCAATGTCAGCTCCTACCCCCCGCGAACCTGTACGCAGGATAAGCAGTTGATAGTTACAGTTTAGTGATAACTAGGGCTTGCTGTAAGGATTTACATAGTCGAATCAGAATCTTCAAGTCCTGCCTATAGTTGACGGATAGTCGAATCATGTGTGTTTTTGTGCACGGCGATTGCGAGCCGAAGCTAAACTGAGGCTTATTGTTGACCGTTTTCTCTCTCTCTCGTCTGCTATTCACCGATCTTGTGTAGAGTTTAGCGTGCATGCCGTGCCGCCGACAACTGCATGCACGTCGTTCTATTTCAAGTAGCTGGCTATTTAAAAACGATATAATGTTCTTTGTGCAGTTCATCAACGGTGATAAATTGTCCGAAAGTCCCGCAAGGTGCGGACAACTGGACACAACACCGGTGAAGCTGGGGCTCCCTCTCTTCAGCAAGTGCTCCTCTTCTGCCATTACATACATACGCGCTACGCCTACACATGCGCTACACAGGGTTACAATTGTGGATTTATTCACATACTTTTTTTTGAAACACTTATTGAAAGTTTTATTCTTTTTACATGTTTATTTACAGCATTAAATGTTGAAATGTATATTTTAATAGGCTGTATATTAACTTATTGTCAGAAAACTGGTAGTTCGATGCACCCCCATATAGCCAAAATGGCGTGACCCTTGTTTTGCTGTTGAATCAGGCTCCGCCCATTAAAGCATTGAATCTTCAACTTTTTTGGGTCAGCCCTAGTGACAACTGTAAAATAACTACATAAGATGACTTTAAATACCAACAATCTTGTCAGCAGAATCTTTCCTTGGCTTACAAAATTAAAATTTTCCTTTATTGTCCTGTTTAATTTGTACTCAGCAGTCCAGCTGTCTCCTCTGTAGAAAAGATACACATTCAAAGTCTGTCTGTCCTGGAAGATGACAGACAGACTTTTCTTTTCCTGACACTTCTCAATTTTTCCCCTTAAAGAGAGATTTTCCATATTCAAATTCAGGATATAAGGATAGAGTGGTTCTATGTTGGATACACTGTAAAGACCTCTGAGTAACATTTGTAATTTGGGATTTTGTGAATACAGCAGACTTATCCTGACTTGACTGTTGCAGTGCATTAAATCTGGATCCTATTCTGTATTTATTGTGTAAAAATCTCAGTCATCAAATTCATAGTAGTTAATAATAATCTGTTAGACAGTTCAGTAACATTTATAGAACCATGGTATAAACTCTCTTGAGGTGAAAAAAATAAAATGAAGCATAATTGCAACAAGATTCAAAGTTTATGACAACTAAATTCACTTTATTATTTATTACTTAATTTATGCTCAATAGACAATTTTAAATTACTTCCAAAATGTCACCCAATAACTTCTCTGTGAATGCTGAGGTTTTAAGATTTAAGATCATGCGCCTTTGCTTCACAAAGAAGCTTAAAATACAACATTGAAAAAATGAAACAAGAATAAACAAAAGTTGATCACTTTCATTGACTGCAAATAAAATAATGCATCAATTATTTGTCTTCAGACAGACCAAAATCAACCCTTTTATTTTCATTTTTTAAAACTTGCATGACAAAGTTCCTACCTTAAGAAATTATTACTGTTGAGACTAGTGAGACAAAGGCATACATTTATTGTTTTCTCTTCTTACTCAATGTGAACAAATCTATGGGATGCTCTGCACTTCTCAACAGAACTTAAAAGAAGACTTTTACATATAATGCGTATTTTGGACATATTGAGGCCGTACATTAAAGGGTTGAAGAGCGGTTGGCATGTAAAAAAATACAATGATAAAAATATTCGCATCATGTGAGGTACACTGTTCATGTTAAACCTGCTCTGGAATATTTCAAAGCAAGCCCCAAAAGCAAAGTTGAGCAGAGAAGCAAGGTGAGGAGTGCAGGTACTGACAGCTTTTTGTCTGGTCTGTTTAGAACCAGAAAAACAAACTTTAAGAATCCTCATGTAAGTGTAAAAGATTACAGACATCGGAGCAAAGACTGTGAGAGAAAAAGCAATGATTTCATATACGTTGTTCACACTAGTGTCATAGCAAGCCAGTTTTATGATAGAGTAGTTGTCACAGTAGACTTGATTAATGATGTTCCCACACAGTTGTAGAGAGACACTGAAGGATATTGTGACAAAAACAGCAAAAAAAGGAGGTAACCATATAACAACAATAAGCATGACAACCTTATGAGATGTCATATGTGCATTATACTGTAGAGGACAGCAGATAGCAAGGTATCTGTCATAAGAAATGACAGCTAAGTTGGTAAATTCTACACTTCCATAAGAATACAAAGAGAAAATCTGCAGGAAACAAAAGGGAGCAGAAACAGTGTGAATGTCAGAGAGAATCTGAAGCAGAAGGAATGGAAACAACCCTGTACTACCATACAGCTCATTTACAAACAGGCTGCACAGAAAAAGGTACATAGGTTCATGTAAGCTTCTGTTCATACAGATAACCACAATGAGAAAAAGATTTACACAAAGAATAAATATATATAAAGACAAAATGAAAATGAAATATAAGTATTTAAAAAGCCCGGTGTCAAAGTAGGCATCGAGTGCAAAATATGAAACCTGAGTAGAGTTTATCATGATCATCATTTTCTTTGAAAACACAATAACACTGCACAGGAAGAACTTAAGTACAATACTGTTACACTTTGTTGAAGAAATAGTTTGTGAAAAGCATCTCCAACTTACCACTCTTTCATTAAAGTCAATGTAACAGTTAGAGACACTACAAACTGAATTCATGACATTGTGTGAATGACACTGTGAATCCCACCTAACTGAACTGTAACTCTGGTCCCGCTTCTTTTAAACCTTTCAAGTCAGTGGACGCCCACAGCAGCAGAGTGATGTTATTATCAAAGGAAACACTGTTACTAAATTTGTAATAGATGGTTGCTCAGGGGGAAAAAAACAAACACAGGCACCATAAACCATTACAACAACACACATGGAAACACTTGAATATGATCAAATGTACAATGAATAAGTAAGATATGACATGTACAGTTTAGTTCCTCCGCATATCAAGTGGCAGACAAAAAGTACAATGATTGATGTACCAGTGCAAACAGTGCAGTTAGGTCAGTATGGGATCTTGTTTTTTTAACTCTTAATTTTGCCTTTCTTAACCAGGTAAGCCAATTGAGAAAAAAATTTCATTTACAATGGCAACCTAGTCAAGATGAAACATCATGCAGTACAACATGTAGTTTCATATAAAATATAAAATACACAATGCAGTATACGGAGGTCAACTGCTGGTGAAGTGGCAATACAGTGACACTGGTTCTACAGCAAAGAGCAATACATATTTTGATAATAACATTTGACCAAATCTTCACAAATTTATATCTATGCTGATGACGCTCTTGCATATATGTGCAAGAATGCTTGAGCCCATCTCCACATAATGATATAGGTAAAATAACCTGTTATAAGTAAATTGCTAATACGCCAAACTGGTGAGACAAACATATTGAAGCGAGAAGATTGTAAAAGCAGTATAATACAACAGAGAATAGGTTAGGTTTAACACATGCAATGATCAGTCAATACCTCAGAGAGAAGTTCTTCAAAAGCTGAGGGGGGAACAATAGTCTTGGTATGGAGAGGTGTGGACTTTTGGGGTGGCCAGAGATATGAACCTGTTTGAGTGTTGCGGGTTGGTTATGATAAGGAGACCAATGAATTTAGGTACAACAGTAATTTTCCCAGTAAGGTCTGGCCACATCTAGTTTCTAGTTTCTAGAGAGAATTAGAAGGAACTCTAGATACCACATCACTGAAATCGAGAATTGGTAAGATGATCAGTTTCACCAGAGCATGTTTAGCAGCACAAGTAAAGGAAGCCTACAACCGATTAGATTGGAGGCTGTGGAGATGATCCGCTCCAGTCTGTTCTTGTTGTGACTGTCTGAGTTTCCATACCAGACAGTGAGAGATGATGTAAGAATGCTCTTTATGATGGCTTTATAGAAGTGGACCAACAGATGTTTCTTGACATGATCCTTTTTTAGTTGCCTGAGGCAGTCTTTGATGGGCCTTTTTGATGATGTGGTTGGTGTTTCAGAGTTTTACTGATGTGGAGTCTGTCAGGGTTATGGTTTGCTCAGAGATTTTATCTGGGGCTTTGATGTTTGTCCTCCTTCTGAAGTCTACAGCTATTAACTTCGGAGGGCATAGGGGGCTGGACACTACTGGTTTTAACTGGAAAACATGAAATTAATTTTCATAGACCAGGGCGGCTTAAGTCTGACATCAGCGGGATGTATGATTCTCTCAATGACAAAGGGGCCAATGAAACGGGGTGACAGTTTTCAGGAATCTGTTCTTAATGGGATAGTCTTGGAAGTTAACAAAAATTTCAGACCTTGTTTGTACTCTAGGGCAGGGACTCTGTGTCTGTCAGCAAGGCGGCTGTTTTCCGCAGACCGGAGAAGGGCAGCCCAGGTGTCTTTCCACAACCTGCAGCAGCATCAGAGGTGGTGTTGTACTGACGGCACTGTCAGCTCATTCTCCTGTGTGGGGAACAGAAGGAGCTAGTAGCCTAGGAAGGCTTCCAATGGTGACAGGCCCATGGCAACGTTGGTTAGGGAATTGTGGGCATATTCCACCCAGGCAAGGTGGGCACTTTCAGCTTGACCGTTAGTCTGCGGGTGGAAACCAGATGAGAGACTGATAAAACTCTTTCCATACCTTTGAAATGAACTGAGGGCCTTTGCCCAAAACGATTCCGTGGAGGCAGAAGACTTGTTGAACAAGAACGGATGCACTTTCGCTGGCTGTGGGCAATTTGGGGAGAGCAACAAAATGCACGGATTTGCAGAAACAGTCTACTATGGTGAGTATGTTGTCATTACCTTGAGATGGTGGAGGGTGGGCGGTGTGAATATTTCCCCCCGGGAGCAGACCATGCAGGCAGATACATCCTCTTAGGTATCATCCTCAAAGGTGGGACATCCAGAAACTCCTCCAAAACAGGGACAGTGGACTGGACCGTTACCTAGATCAGAACAGTTCTATGTAACCAACATCATAGTCTCTTTGCTGGGCTGAGGCAGCAAGAGAAGAATGCACAAGGATGTATCGTTTGCTCCGCTGTCAGACGCATCCACCTCTACTGTGAACTGCTTGGAAAGTCAGAAAGAACTAAGATGGGGGCGGAGGTGAACTGGATTTTGAGCTTGGCAAAGGCTGCTTGGGCTTCAGTAGACCAGGTAAACGGGGCTTTAACAGAGGTTAGTTGTGTTGATGGAGCAGATATCTTGCTGTAGTCCCTGATAAACCTGCAGTAAAATTTTGCAAAGCCCAAAAACTGTTGGAGTTGTTTAATGGTATTGGGGACGGGCCACTCTACCACTGCCCTAATCTTGCCTGGATCTGCTTTCATCTTTCATCAGCTGCTGGAGCACCAGGCGGACATGGGACACATGTTCAGTAAGGTTTCTGGAAAAAATCAAAATGTCATTGAGATAGACAAAAACAAAGTGGTTCAGGAAGTCTCTAAAATAATGTCCAAGATGGCGCTGCATATAGCTGCCTTGGCATTAGGTGTGCTCTGTTTTGTTTTGTTTTTGTGTGTTAATTTAGTTTTTGGCTGTGATTCCCAGAGCTCTTTCAGCAAATAAGAGCTCAGGAACATCAGGGGAACAACTCCAGTGGATTAATTTCCCACTTCTCTCGCGTCATCAGTGGAATTATTGGACATTTTGGTGAAGGGGACGCCCACTGTTGCTCGGGCTGTGAAGCGCAGAAGGAGAGGAAAACGAGCCGTGTCGCTCCAGTGGCGTGGACTCTGCACACCACCAATATTTCGTGACGTGCGCGCACTGTGCAACAAACTGGACGAACTTCAGCTACTGGTGGGGAAAAACAGAGACTTTTATTTGACTTCTGTTCTGCGCTTCACGGAGACGTGACTCAGAGGTTAGGAAAAGATCATAGTTTGACTTAAAATAGCTACATGTGTCAGTTAACACGTAAGTTAACTAACGTCACTTGCGTAACTTACACAATTTATGTAACTCGCGTAACTTAAATAAAAAATTTATGTTAAAAGTTGACACACGGGACATGAACACCGGTCTCAGATGGTGATGGAGGAGGTGAGGATGGACTCAACGGACTTCTTCAGCTGCTGCAGGAAGTGCATCCTTCTTGGTGTGGAAGGTGATGTTCAGCTCCCACTTGAGGTCCCAAGAAGCGGAAGGAGTCCACAGTGGCGACTGGGAAGTCATGCAGGATGATGGGGGAGTGTGGGGCTGGGCTCTTTCTGAAGTCCATGACCATCTCCACTGTTTTCAGAGCGTTGAGCTTGACTCTGTGAACTGAGACAGTTCACAGAGTATGTGATCCAGTGATTCAGCAGCACTGTTCTCCTGATCTGGAATATTTTATCATTAACTGTAAACCGTTTTACTCCCCTCGTGAGTTTGCTTTATTCACTCTGGTCTGTGTTTACATTCCACCGCAGGCCAACGTGCACGACGCACAGTGCATGCTGGCCGACCGGATACTGTGTGTGGAGCAGACAAACCTGGACTCCCTTGTTATTGTTCTTGGTAACTTTAACAAAGGAAACCTCAGCCAAGAACTCCCCAAATACAGTGTGCAAAGAAAGAGGGGAACACTTTGTATTGGTGCTACACTACAGTAAGCAGTGCCTATCATGCCATCCCCCACACTCCACTGGGTCACTCTGATCACATCACAGCTTCAGCCCCAGTCCACCACTTCCTCCTCCTACCCCTCAGAGGAAGCAGCACGTGAAGATGGAAAACAGCACCGGTTCCCCTCAAGGCTGCATTCTTTCCCCTCTGCTCTTCTCCCTGTATACCAACAGCTGCACCTCCTGTCACCAGTCCTTCAAGCTCATGAAGTCTGGGTATGACACCACCCTCATTGGGCTCATCATCATGAGTCTACAGGTGGTACAGGTGACCTGGTGCAGCCAGAACAATCTGGAGCTCAACGCTCTGAAAACAGTGGAGATGGTCATAGACTTCAGAAAGAGCCCAGCCCCACACTCCCCCATCATCCTGCATGACTTCCCAGTCGCCACTGTGGACTCCTTCCGCTTCTTGGGACCTCAAGTGGGAGCTGAACATCACCTTCCACACCAAGAAGGATGCACTTCCTGCAGCAGCTGAAGAAGTCCGTTGAGTCCATCCTCACCTCCTCCATCACCATCTGAGACCGGTGTTCATGTCCCGTGTGTCAACTTTTAACATAAATTTTTTATTTAAGTTACGCGAGTTACATAAATTGTGTAAGTTACGCAAGTGACGTTAGTTAACTTACGTGTTAACTGACACACGTAGCTATTTTAAGTCAAACTATGATCTTTTCCTAACCTTAACCAAATACTTTTTGTGCCTAAACCTAACCAAAGTACAACATTTCACAACTTTTATAATGTGCCATTTTAAAATGGCGATGTTTTGTAAGTCTCATTTGAGAGTAATTAGTTATATAACTATATTACTGTCTCTGAATTGTAATGCTTTACACGGGGTTTTTTTTTACACTTTTTTATGGGGGCATTATTCTGACATAGGTGGGTTCTAGTGATGTACAGAGTTATATTCGCCGATGGGGTGGGTGTCATAAAAATTAACCTTCGGACCAGACCAAGTGCCCCTCAGTTATTACAATATAGTGCTAAATAATTTGATAAAATTAGCTGTATTTGTCGGGGCCAAACTATTACAGTTTACAGTGTCCACCATCAACAGAGATAAGTTTGGTTATGACACCTTTGGGGTTTCAGGTCTGTTCTCCTGACTAAACATTGCGATGGACTAGCTGGAGACTTAAAGACAACAAACACTGAAAGACTACATTTATGAACACAATACGTTCTGGTGACAACTGGAAAATAACAACTATTAAAATTATCCGTAGCACCTTACTATAAATATCAAAGGTCAGCAAAATCTTCCCTCGGGGTATAAAACAACATTTCTCTTCTGACTCGTCACATATTGATGCATGGTCAAGGCCCTTTGCCATCGCTTTTTTACACTCAGGTTACCCCTTTTGCGTCATTTATTGATGTTAAGGGCTCTGCGGTCAAGTTAGCAATGCTTAGCAAGAACACATATATTCCAGTAAAGTTAGCAACAATACATATGCAACGTCACTTTCAGAATAAAACGCTTGCGTATCGAAAAATTGCCATTTTGAAACGGCAAGTTATTAAAGTTGTGAAACGCTGCAGTTAGGTTAGGTTTAGGCACAAAAAATACTTGGTTATGGTTAGGAAAAGATCATGGT